TAAACCCTAAACCCTAAACCCCAAACCCCAAACCCCAAACCCTAAACCCCAAACCCTAAGCACCAGAAGCCTAAAACCCCAAACCGCAGCAAGCCCTGATGACCAGAAGCCGGCGCCATGTCGTTCTGGCAGACCTTCTCCTCAACCAGCACGCACCCTTTCACTTACTGTTGGTTAGTAGAGAATGAGGGAATGAGGTACCCTGTATAGTCCCTTAGAGGGTATATATAGGGGGATATGATATAAGGTACCCTGTATAATCCCTCTTAAAGGGAATATATAGGGGGAATATGGGGTACCTCATTCCTTGATTCCCTACTAACTAACAGTACGTTCACCACGATGGTGCCTTCGGCCGGCCGTTCGAGGATGAGCTGCGGTTTACGTGCCTTGCATGGGGGCGCTAAGTCTTTTTTTGTTAAATTCTTAGAGGGTGGTTTAGGGTTTAGGGTTTAGGGTTTAGGGTTTAGGGTTTAGGGTTTAGGGTTTAGGGTTTAGGGTTTAGGGTTTAGGGTTTAGGGTTTAGGGTTTAGGGTTTAGGGTTTAGGGTTGTAGGTTGTAGGGTTTAGGGTTGTAGGGTTTAGGGTTGTAGGGTTTAGGGTTTGGATTTAGGGTTTGAACAAGAAAACCTGATGGTCCAAAAATTTCGCACCCTGCTCACCATAGAGGCTCAAAGAACTGTTGCCCTGAGGCCTTCTCAAACCCTAAACCCCTACACCCTGAAATGCCTAAACCCCCAAGCCCTCGAAAACACCCTAGCCCTCAAACAATCCCAAACCCTAAGCCCCAAACCCCAAACCCCAAACCCTAAACCCTAACCTCAACGTGGCGCCTCGAGCATCTCCGCCATGAAGGTGGAGATGCCTGCACGGGGTGTCGGTCTAAACCCTATATAAACCCTCAACCCTAAACCGTAAACCGTAAACCCTGAATCCTGAACCCTAAACCCCAAAACTCTAAACCCTAAACCCTAAACCCCAAAACTCTAAACCCTAAACCCTAAATCCTGATCCCTGAACCCTAAACCCTTATCTTAGGCTCTCCTTCGTGATCATGGGTACTTCACATAAAGTTTAGGGTTGAGGGCCTAGTCTCGGGGTTTAGGGAAGGTCTCCATCTCAAGGCTGCAATGTGTTTAGGGCCGGGCTTTAGGGTTACAGGGTTGCAGGCCTCCTTCAAGCCGGACCCGAAGCACCAAATCTGGCTTGCTGTGTAGGAACTTTGTAAGGTACCATACTATTCTGGCTTCCCTAACAGAACGCAGGATCCTTATCCCGGGAAACGGACGACGCCTCGGAGCTGGACGTCGGAGGCGCCGACGCGGCACCTATAGAAGCCGGTGCTTCCTATTTGGAGCGGCCACTGTGTTTAGGGAATGTAAGGGCCTCTTAGAGTTTCGGCGTTAGAGGCCATATTCAGCATGTGTTGAGGGAAGGCCTTAGGGGTACAACCTTGCAAGGGTATGAGTTCGGATCCCTTCATGGACAGCATTGAAGAGCTTCGAGCTCCCCCCCAAAAAACCCTTTCAGCAGACACCCTTGCACCTGCCCTAGCCCTCACCTCACAGCCCTCACAGCCCTCACAGGCCTCACAGCCCTCACAGGCCTCACAGGCCTCACAGCCCTCACAGCCCTCCTCCCTCTCTGTCTCTCTCCCTCTCTGTCTCTCTTCCTCTCTCGCTCTCTCTCTCTCTCTCTCGCTCTCCCGGGGCCCATCGGGGTGCCCGGAATTGGAGCGGCGCTCAAGGCCGCGTGCACTGACGCACTCGACAAGAGACCACTCAGCTATATGCGAAGCGTGCCTGGCAGGGAGACGGTAAGGGCACAGGCAAAGGAGAAAAGGGGGGCAAAGGAGCCGGCCACGTCCGCCGAGGCAAGGGCGACCAGAAAGGTAAGGGAAGAGGGCGCACCCCTGATGGGCGCCCGCTATGCTGCAGATGGTTGCAAGAAAGGGGACAAGGGCTATTTTGCACACATCTGTCTGACACGCTACGATTACGAGTACTCTACCTTTTCAGTGGTGTACCGCGAAGGGGCGACTTGAAAAGCCACCCGCAACGACAAGCTGCAGCGGCAGGTTGGGTCTTGCAGCTCGAGAGCGTGGACGTCAAGATAAAGCCGTACAGGGACTTGTCCCTGACAAAAGAGAGAGAGAGAGAGAGAGAGAGAGAGAGAGAGAGAAGGTGGTGTAAGAACGACTCCGGTCAGGCGACGACGACGCCGTGATGAGCTCACCTCCTTGCTCCACTTTGTCGAGAGCGCCCTAGATGAACTGTAAGGGCCCTAGGCCTCCAGCCTAAGTCCTAAGCCCTACATGCCAAGCCCTCAACCCTGAACTCCAGGTGCCCTAAACCCTAAACCCAAAACCCTACACCCTAAACCCTAAGCCCTAAACCCTAAACCCTAAACCCTAAACCCTAAACCCGAAAGCCCCCAAAAGAACCCCCAAAAGAACCCCCAAAAGAGCCCCGAACCCGAAAACGCCCCCACAACCAGGAACCCCAAGAGCCCTGAACCGCCAAAACCCGCAAAACCCTGCCCTAAACGCTAAACCCTAAACGCCCTAAACCCTCAGCCCTCAGCCCTCAGCCCTAAGCCCTCAGCCCTCAGCCCTAAGCGCTAAGCCCTAAGCCCTCGGCCAAAATCCCAGAAAAGCCCGAAATCACAACCTCCCAAAGATCATTGTAGCAACAGAGCCCCAAGGTCTAAACTCTCCAGCCTGAACCCTAAACACACAAGGACCGCCCAAAACCAGGATAAGAAGGCCTAGAACCAGGAGTAGAACCTAGGAATGAAAGGGTGCCATATCTTTTGGCTTCAAGGGGCTCATAAGGGAGCCGTAAACCCTATACTCTAACCCTTAAACCCTAAACCCTAAACCCTGAGCCCCAAACAAAAATGGAATAAGGGGCCTAAACCCTAAACCCTAAACCCTAAAAAATAAACCCTAAACCCTGGGTCCTAGAGGCTAAGCTGAGCGGCATGATCGAGTCGAAGCATGGCAGGACGGCCCGGCGACCTTTCTTGGTACAAGGATTGAGGGTTTAGGGTTTAGGGTTTAGGGTTTAGGGCTTAGGGCTTAGGGTTTAGGGCTTACTGTACTAAACCCCGAACCCTAAACCCTAAATCCGAAAGGTGTCGGGCTTCCGAGGGCTCGCCCGGCTTGAAGGACGAGTTCGAAGCCCCTAAAGCCTCAGATCCTCAGGTCCTGGACCGGCACGGCCAAATGGTCGGAGGTTAAACCCTAAACCCTGAACCCTAGACCTAAGCCAGATATTGGGGGGGACCGCGCTGTGCCTCAACAGTAACGTCTCGTCAACGCTTTCGCAGGCTCCGAGAGCTCAAAGCTCACCCTAAAACACTAACCCTAAACCTAAACTCTAAGCCTAAACCCTAAACCTAAACCCTAAACCTAAACCCTAAACCCTAAACCCTAAACCCTAAACCCCAAAGAACCCCTGAGCCCGACAATCCTCTGGCCCACCTCTGGCGGCCCTGGCCGTCCGCTATGCAGCTTTCAAGGTCAAGAAACCCCATGTAAACCACCAAAAACGGCTTAGGGCCCAGGGTTTTAGGATTTTAGGGCTCTAGGGCTTTAGGTTCTTTAGGGATTAACCCCAAACCCTAAACCCTAAACCCTAAACCCTAAACCCTAAACCCTAAACCCTAAACCCTAAACCCTAAACCCTAAACCCTAAACCCTAAACCCTAAACCCTAAACCCTAAACCCTAAACCCTAAACCCTAAACCCCCTAAACCCTAAACCCTAAACCCGTGCATCCCTTGGGCCCCCCTGGGCCGGCCGAGGTGCAGGGCACAAAGCTGCCAATCTGATTCAACAAAGCGATCAGTGCCACAGACCTGCCGCCGGGTCTAGGGGGTTAGGGTTGAGGCGGCTTAGGGGGTTCAGGGCGTTCAGGGGGTTTAGGGTTTAGGGTTTAAGGTTTAGGGTTTAGGGTTTAGGGTTTAGGGTTTAAGGTTTAGGGTTTAGGGTGTAGGGTTTAGGGTTTAGGGTTTAGGGTTTAGGGTTTGGGGTTTGGGGTTTGGGGTTTGGGGTTTGGGGTTTGGGGTTTGGGGTTTGGGGTTTGGGGTTTAAGGGACCCTCATTTCAAGAACCCAGGGACCCCCCCAGGAGACCAGATTCAGGGTCGAAGGACGGAAGCGCTTCGGGTTTAGGGTTTAGGGTTTAGGGTTTAGGGTTTAGGGTTTAGGGTTTAGGGTTCAGGGTTCAGGGTTCAGGGTTCAGGTGTTAAGGCTTGGGATGTTGTAGCTTTAAACCCTAGAAGCCGAAAAGACTCAAAAGCCCTACAAAAACCCTGTAAACCCTGAAAGCCCGGTAAAGCCTATAAAACCCTAAAGGCCCTATAAACCCTATAAACCCTAATCCAACTTTGGACCTGCTTTTCGCCTTCGCAGCCACGCAGGTCTCGGCTCCCCGGGCACACCATGGTTCCGCCCGCGCAAATGCTGACTTGGCCCTTGCTGCAGTCTAAGCCCCCAACCAAGGGCAAGGACCGCTGTTCACTGTTCAGGGTCTAGTGTTCAGGGTACTTTTCAGGGAGCGCGCTCACCAAACTGTACACTGTACACTGATTCATGAGCTCTTCCGCTTGTTTTGAGTCACCGCGGCCTTGACAGCTCACATTTGTAGTAGTCCCCCCTCGTTCGAAAACTCTAACTTAGCTCAGGATTTCAAGGCTAGGGGCTTCGGGGTCAAGCTGGGAGAAACCCTAAACCCTAAATCCTAAACCCTAAACCCTAAACCCTAAACCCTAAACCCTGAATTAAGGAATATACCTTGAATCATATTAGGGTTCCTATGAGAACTGAGGGGATGCTCCTTAACGGGTTGTGGAGTCTCTGGGGAGGACACGGATCTGAGTGACCCAAACCCCTAAACCCTAAACCCTAAACCCTAAACCCTAAACCCTAAACCCTAAACCCTAAACCCCCAAACCCCAAACCCCCAAAACCCCAAACCCTATCACAGCTAGGCCATCCTCAGTAGAAGGAAGCCACCTCATAGCAGAGCCGCTCGCCATTGATGCCCGGGTGCTGGAGGGAGGTGATCCTCGGAGGGGCCCCACGATGAACCCGACACTTGGGGTCATGTAATAAAAAGGGCCTCCTTTAGGGTTTAGGGTTTAGGGTTTAGGGTTTAGGGTTTAGGGTTTAGGGTTTAGGGTTTAGGGTTTAGGGTTTAGGGTTTAGGGTTTAGGGTTTAGGGTTTAGGGTTTAGGGTTTAGGGTTTAATAATTTAGAACAGGGTTTTTGGGGGGCATTGTTATAGTAGAGCTATAAAGGGACCATGAGGGAACACTAGTAGTAACTTTTCCAACCCCAATAGTACCGAATGCCATCCGGAAGCCCTGTTCTGAGGTATTCTGGACCATGAACCACTTGTAGGGTTCATGTGGGGGTTTCCGAAAACAGGGGTACCCTTTTAGGGGTCCCGTTTAAGGGGACGCTGTTCTATTTGGGGTAGGAAAGGGGTACCCCTATTTTCGGAAATACCCATGTCGTCTCCAAGAATCAGAGAGCAACTTGCAGCAGCGGAGTCGTCCGTCATGCCAAGGTACCTTTGACTGCCACTCTCGGCCCACCACTCGTTGCCAGGATACGCGTTGCCATCCCATGCGTACATGGCAACCAGAAGGCATCCCCCGGCGGGCTCTGCGAAGCCACTCTGCGTGGCAATGACCTCACAAGACTTTCCTAACCCTAGGCCGCCCCCGCCCCCGGATCACCTACTATGTTTTCGATGCCTAAACCCTAACCCTAAGCCCTAAGCCCTAAACCCCAAACCCTAAACCCTAAACCCCAAAACCCTAAACCCTGAACCCTAAACCCGAGTTTATCAGTTTCAGGTTCCCACCTCAATGCCCCGTGCCGCCCCTGCGGCGATCACAGATGCCGGCAACGCAGTCGGGAAGAAAGAGAAGTCCAGGACGTCAATGCCCTGCTAGGAAGGTAGCTAGGGGTTTAGGGCTTAGGGTTTAGGTCCAGGGTTCAGGGTGCGGGGTTTAGGGTGTAGGGTTTAGGGTTTAGGGGCTTCGATCGTTTTGCGGATTTCAGAAATGAGTGCCTTGTAACTTTTAAAGCCTTTTACTTACCTACTTTGCTAAGCCCCAAACTCAAAGCCTGCTAAACCCTACCCACGCCTTACACCCAAAACTCTAAACCCCAAACCCGAAAACTCAAAACTCGACTGAAATATCCATGTTTGTATGTACTCTTGTATTACCCACCCTATCCCACTCCGTATGCGTACAGCCCTATACACCCTGTAGGCTCTTCGCGCCTGGAGGTTTGACCCCTCCTGCAAAATCGTCTCATACACAGCGTACATCAAGGACTCCTCGCGGGGCACAAAGGGTTCAGCTGTAGAATTGAGGGTTTGGAGCTTGAAACCCTGAACCCTAAACACTAAATGTTTCGGGTTTAGGGTTAGGGTTTAGGGTTTAGGATTTAGGGTTTAGGGTTTAGGGTTTAGGGTTTCCCTAAGATTCTCCCCAGAGGTTCTCCCCAGGCCCCACACTCTAAACCACGAACGGACTGGGCGGCCCGAGCCGAGAAAGCCAGGATAGGCGGGTGGTGGGGGTGAAGTCTGGCACTAAACCGAATCCCCTTGCCCCAGGCCCGAAACACCAAACTTTTCGGTTTAGGTTTTAGGGTTTAGGGTTTCGGACCGAACGGTTTGGGGTGTAAAGCGCCCCCAAAGCTTCCGCCCATCAACCGTTCAGCCTAGATGCCCCGAACCTCGCAAGACCTAGACCCTAAGCAACAGGGTTTAGGGCTTTGGGGCTTTAGGCTCTTAGGGCCTTTAGGGCCTTTAGGGCTTTTAGGGTTCTTAGGGTTCTCAGGGTTCTTAGGGTTTTTAGCGTTTTTGGGGTTTTTAGGGTTTTTAGGGTTTGAGGGTTTTGAGGGTTTTGAGGGTTTTGGGTTTTTTAGGGTTTAGGGCTTGGCGCAGCAGGGCTTACGACCATCGAGTCTTAGCCCCCTGGTTGAACCAAGGCACCCCTGCCAACGTGAACGTCTAGGCCACAACCCACGTTGCTAGGGTTTAGGGTTTAGGGTTTAGGGTTTAGGGTTTAGGGTTTAGGGTTTAGGGTTTAGGGTTTAGGGTTTAGGGTTTAGGGTTTAGGGTTTAGGGTTTAGGGTTTAGGGTTTAGGATTTAGGGTCACAAAGTCCGCGCAAGAAGTCAATCCACCGAAATTTCAATCCCCCCCCCCTGCACCCCTCCCCCCAACCCCTGCCCCAAACCTGCAGGCTTTAAACCCTAAACCCTAAACCCTAAATCCCTGAATCCCTCAACCCTGAAGCCCTTCTCGGTCCTGCACTGGATCGACCCACCATGCCCCCAGGCCGAGGCCCTTAACGCGGGCATGTGCGCCACGCTGCCCTCAAAGCAGGGTGCGAGCAACCGGACATAGGGGTTTAGGGTTTAGGGTTTAGGGTTTAAGGTTTAGGGGTTTAGGATTCTCGGGTTCTAGCGTTCTCGTACTAGGACTTAGGGATCTCAGACCCTACGAGTCAGATTCTAAAGCCCTCGACGCTACAATCCACGACCACCGAGCTCATAAACCTCTCAAGCTGTGAGTGAGAGTTTAGGGACTGGATGCAAATGTGTATAAATGGAATATAGTAGGGCTGGAGGGGGCGGGTGGTGCGAATTCCTAGGGAAAGGATCCACGGCCTGCAAGACACAACATGGTAGCCATCTAGACTCATAACTGGAGTCACTAGAGTGATCACTCCTAAACCCTAAACCCTAAACCCTAAAGCCTAAACCCTAAAGCCTAAACCCTAAACCCTAAACCCTAAACCCTAAACCCTAAACCCTAAACCCTAAACCCCCAACCTCGGCTTCCTTCCCGGTGCCGCGCGCCGAGCTCGCTGGCGCAGGCCAGGAACGGGAATACGGAATGCCGGATCCGAAGTTGGTAGATCTCCTGGAGGGAGATCCCAGGCCCGGGGGCGCGAACACACTTTCATGAGGGGGTTTAGGGTTTAGGGTTTAGGGTTTAGGGTTTAGGGCTTAGGGTTTGGGGTTTGGGTTTAGGGTTTAGGGTTTAGGGTTTAGAACCTTCTCAACCTGTAAAGAAGAGGTTTAGCCAAAACATCCAAACACCAAGCCTTCTACTACTAGTGGGTCCTTAATCATTTCAGGGTTTTGGGGTCTTTATGGTATAATTCTGTAGGAACCACAAAAGGAATACTGTTGGTAATTATGCCGAACCCTATAGTAGATCTCCTAGAGGGTTTGGGCCTCGGGGTGCCCTATAACAGACCCCCAAATAGTGGGATTCTAAACCAATAAGGCACCCCTAATGTCGGAAACCCCTAGGTCGATTCTCTTTGTGGCCTTGAAGGGCATTTAGAATGAGGTGTCTTCAACTTGATGAAGCAGCACCACTGACCCAGAGAGCCCCAATACCCCCTAATCAGGAATATACCTTAAATCATAAGAAGCACCCCTTCATTAAGGAATATACCTTAAATCATAAGAGGGACCCTAATATGATTCAAGGTATGCTCCTTAACTACGGGGAAATGGGCTCTTCGGGACGTCATCCGACCACCCTGAACCCCAACAGCCTCTGAGCCGGACACGAATCCCGAGCATCTTTCGCTGCAACCATCCCTCAAAGTTCAGCCTGCTGGGTTTTCTGGCTGGTTCGTACTAGGGAATGAGGGAATGAGGGCCCTACGTAATCCCCTCAAGGGTATCTCAAGGGCCCGAATTCCCTCATTCCCGACTAAGAACCAGCGGGTTTAGGGCTTAGGGTTTAGGGTTTAGGGTTTAGGGTTTAGGGTTTAGGGTTTAGGGTTTAGGGTTTAGGGAGCCTTGTCCAGGTATCTTGCCGGATCTGGTGGCCAGGAAGGGGGACTGCCGTAGTACGAGGTCATGCAGGTCCTGCTGGGTGTAGGGTTTAGGGTCTTAGGGTCTGAGGGTCTGAGGGCCTCGGGTCTTAGGCTCTTGGGGAAAAATTCCATGCACTTGTCACAGCGAGACATGGACCCCCAACAAGGGAACACGAGTAATGCAAAGAATGGGAAGAAGAACGAGAATGCGAATAGGACTCATCGAAAGAATATGTATAAGCGCGCTTAGGGGGCTCAGCCGAAGTTGACGACCGAGGTTTCATGCCGAATTGCTTGCGGTTTCAGGCTTGGGGCTTGTCAGTTCTTGTGTTCAAGTGAAAGATCCTAAGAACCCATAAACCCGAAAAGCCTTATAAACTCTGCAAGCCCTAAAAACACCTTCTAAACCCTATAAGCCCTCTAAACCCTATAAACCCTGGCGGTCCTGCAGTACTGCCTCTGCTTCCATCCCTTCCCCTCCGTCCACACTTCCGCGCATCTTTGCCGGCACCAGCTGCAGTCAGTTCCAATGCGGTGGAAGCGGCGGCCCTGCACGTCGGCCTCTTCAGGGCCTACACTGGCTGGTTCTTAGTAGGGAATGGGGGAATGAGGTGCCCTATATAATCCCTTAAAGGGGTTTATATAGGGTCCTATAATTCCCTCATTCCCTACTAAGAACCAGGGGGTATAGGGTTCAGGGTGACCCCTAGACTCCAATTACCCCTTAGTCAAGGAATATTCCATCTAAACCAGAAAAGGAACCCTCTTTATATGTTTAAGGGGTATTCCATACACCCTACAAGGAACCCTCTAAAATTTGTTGAGGAATATTCCTTACTTGAAGGGTATTGGAATCTCTTGGGGAACTCCTCTGGCTCAGGGACTGGATGTCGTCTTGTGTCGATTTTGGCTGGGTGAGGTGCGACGTGCTGAAAGGCGCCACTCTGCGTCCGAAGCGCTGAATCGCGCTGGCCGAACTTCCGCGCGCACGAATTCAGGGTTCAGGGTTTAGGGTTTTAGGGTTTAGGGACATCGAAACACCTGGCCTGATTGTTGGCGTGCGAGGGCTCATGGGCGGCGTGGGGAGGCTCTTGAAAAATGAGGAGTCGCCAGCAAATGGTTTACCGCGCTTATTATGGGCGCGCAGAGGGTCCCGTTAATAGATCTTACTGTTGGTTAGTAGGGAATGAGGAAATGAGGTACCCCATATCAACCTATATATGGTTCCGTGTCCCGTGTCGGTACCCCCCCCCCTCAAATCTTGTTTTGTTTTGTGTTTCATTGTTCGAAAATTCGAGGAGTAGAGACGAGACTGTTGTTGTTTTTAGAAGTCAAAGAGCGGGAGGGTTGGGGGGGGCGCAGCCCCCCCCATTTACTTCTTGTAAAGTGGGAGGAAGGGGAGAAGAGAGAAGGGATTCCCCCCCCCATGGTATCCCCCCCCCATGGTATCCCCCCCCCCACCCCCCCTAAACCCTAAACCCTAAACCCTAAACCCGTAGCCATTTTGGCTCAAGGCTCAAGGGCTGTGCATAAGACCTGCCCGAGGTTTGAGCTGCTAGCCCAATCCCCGTTTGTCCCTTGCTCCGCTGTAGGGTCATGGATTGGCGTTACAAACATTTGCACACAGTAATTGGCTTGATTCTGTTGAGCTTGCATTTTGGTTGCAACTTCTACATAGTTTGCAACTTGCCAATCAGTGGTTCTTCACCACTTTGTAGCACTACGAACACATTGCCCCTGGGCAAGGTTGACCTTAGCATCGCAAAATGCCCCTTTACCTTCTGTAAACGACAGGAACATTCCTACGACAGGAACTCACGATCCAGCATCCTGAAGGCGGATCAGGACTGGATGCACATTTGCATTTGTGCTTGCTTTCTCGGCTTTGGAGCCTGCATGGACTTAATTACCGCTGCACTGATGCAGTTGATTCGACAATTCAACAATGCTTGCAAAGACAGTCGTGCTGCACTGGCGCAGCATGATTTGAAAACACCGCATGAAGATGCTTTTTGCCAAAATGATGATGTGATGACACGTGATGCGCAATCACCTCGAACATCACTCCTCGCTGCCTCTCGAAACACTTCGATATTTCAGCCTGCTCTACAGATTTGTCGTAGAGTTTGTCAATTCTGTGTGGTTGTCACCACACTTCGCCAAGGTATGTTCCATCCTGGAGTTGACTGGCATGACCTTGCCCAGGCACCTGAGTACAATGATCAGCTTGAAGAGGTTACACATTCTACTGCCCTCTTCTACAAATGCAGAAAGCCTGAATCTCCGGTATTCACCTTTCGCACCATTGGTGATGGCAATTGTTTGTGGAGGGCTGCCTCGCATTCGCTTCGATGCACTTGGTTCTCCCTTAAAAGGAAAGTCCTTAGGCAGGCTCTTAGCAGGAAAGATGAGAGACATAGTCTTGTCAAGCAGCTAGCAAAGCCAAATGCTTGGGGCAATGCCTTGGCGATTCAGCTCATCGCTGAATATCTCAACACAAGTGTGTATGTTTGGCATATGGGAGGCATTGGAGCCTTTCATCCCCCCACCCCTAATGACTCGCAACCGATTTTTCTTGCACTTGCTGAGCAGCATTTTGAAGCGATCCCAAAATGGATAGGATATAAACTCCTCAAATCTTGTGACGCTGAATCGCCAACCCCTCTTGATGCAATCAGCTTTGCCACTCAGGCGATCTATGACCCGCTGGACAAGATCGCATGCAGGAGCATCAGGTGGCAAGGGAATAAGCGCCCTAACGGGCTTAATGCTTTGTTTGCTTCTAGATTGAGTCGGTTTCCTGGGATCGGTGAATGCATTGGTCAAGGCTTGACGTATGAACCAAACAATCGTGCCTTCACCCCCAGTAGTAAAAAGACCTCTTGTAAGAAGCAAGCCTGTTTCCTCTCATTGCTCTCGCTCTGGGGCAGGCTTCTGAGTCCAATTCTTTACCTCTTCACGATCTCCTGCTTGGGGATTATAGGAGATTCTCATCCTGAGAATGCTGAAATGAACTGGGGCGGTGCACCGATTTCCCAATGGTCCGATGCCACTCAGTGGAACATCACCTCAATACAGCTTCCCATCTTCAGTTGCACACAGCACTCTCCCTTCAGTGGAGGAGGGAATTGTTACTTGCAGTCACGATCAGGGCATCTCCAAACATCCTGCAGGAATGCTACAGGGGAATATGCTGATGAGACTTTCGTTCTCAACAAGATGCCGACTGCAAGTTGGATTTCAGGGTATTCCCTAAGCCTGAAGACCCACCTCAATCGCTGCGATTGCACTCCCTGCATTGGAGCAGGGGGGTTAACCAATCGCCACGATTGTGGTTCCCCTTTCTTTGCAAGTCCCGAACCCTACTTGCTGTTCGTGAGTTCACTCGACAACTTCTTTGATGATCTTCGCGTCGGTGGTTACCTCTTAGGTTACTTGGGATTTGGCGATTTCGAGCAGTTGCGCCTTGCATGCAGCAAAATCAACAATGGGAGCTGTGAGATACAACAAACTTGTTTTGCTGACGACTGCTCAGGAACATGTCCCAGCTGCTCCACTTCCTCGAAGCAGCCCTCCAAGGAGTCTTCTGCAAGCAGCTGCAAGCCACTTCTGCAAGTATTTGATTGTTGCTCCTTTGGTTTAACTCTTCCTTGGGGTAAGGCTCAAATTGCATTTGCTTTTTGTGGAGGCTACCTTTGCCCACCTTTCACTCCAAACACCTTCCCTTCGAAGCAAATAATGGCCACCCCAGAAGCTGCCATCATGGAGCACCTTCTTGCGCTGGAGCAGGAATTGGTGCGGCTTCGCAACGAGATCGAGACCACGCGGGCCGACGAGGATGAGCAGTACAAGCGGGAATATCAGGAGGCTTACGATACGCTTCGTGAGCAGGTCCTTGAGCTGAGGGCTCAAGCTGGCGAGACTGAACCACCGTTGCCTAGGAAGACCAAAAGGCAACTCAATCAGTCGCAGCGGGGGCAAGAGAGGCAGGTTTCAGCCAAGACTATGGCGAAGGCTACTGCTTCTGCTCCAAGCTCTTCTTCTACGCCGGCTCGGCCTAAGACCCCACCGACGCCTCCTCCAACAATGGCACCGCCAGTCACTCCGCCAAGCGGCGTTGCTGGTCAGGATGTGAGGCCGGTTGCAGCAAAGCTTCCTGCAGTGGCTAAGTCGCCGCCGGTGAAGGCCAAGCCTACAACGCCGCCGTTGGGGCCGCGGACCTCGCCTAAGGCTGCCAAGGGAATGTTTCACCGTCTCTTGCTGGCTAAACCAGCTTCTGTACCTTCCTCGTCTAGCTCTTCAGCTTCCCGTTTGGCTTCTGCAGAGACTGCGGAGCCTGATCTGCCCAAGTCTGTGCTTATTGAAAGCTGTGGCTTCAATCCTAACAAGGAGATGGCTCCAAGCCGCAAGACGGGCACCTACGATGTCTGTCTGAAGGTTGACCTCCGGGAGTATTGGAATCCCGAGGCTAGCAAAAGCCTTCGTCGCCACACTGGTAGGCACCCTACCACGCTTTCCCAGTTTGTCCGAACCCAGGATGCGCAAAAGCTGATAGCGGCAATTGTACAGAACTTGAGCAGCGCGAAGCGTGCTTACATCGAAGTTGGCTGCAGTCAAGGACGCCATCGTTCAGTGGCCCTTACTGAGGTCCTGACCGTGGTACTTCCCCTGATCTATGAAGGTATCTCCGTAGAGACCTTCCATAGGGGCTCTTTGCGCAATTGGCACACATTGTGCAAGCCATGGGAATGCCACCAGCGCACGCTCCTCGGGTCTGCGCGACATGGAGCCGGTGTCCTTGAAAGGGACATTAAGCACTTTGGTACCTTGCATGTGGCAGACAATGCCACTGAGCACAAGTTCCTTGAGATCGTGCGAGATTACATGGCCGACTGCAGTATGCGATGCAAGCTTTTGCTCATGTCTTTTGTAAAGAGTACTTGCTCTCTCAAAGTACAGGACAACCTCCGTGCTCTTTCAATACTGGGAGATGCAGTGGAGCATCTTCCTGGTCTGTGGGGTGCATTGGAGCATCCCACTGCAGCACCAATGCAGCACAAGTGCCTGCCTGCCAGTTTGCTGCAAGTACGTCTTTCTGAAGATTCTTTTAGAGGAGGGTTTACTTCTGGTTCCTGGTTGGATGGGGTCTTCCT